AACGTCAAGCAATTTCAATAGGCCATAATCATTAGTGACGAAACAAGTGTTATCGTCAGCATATTGACTGATCTTCGATTCACGTCCGCCGGGCAGACCTTGTATTTCTTTGCAAGATCGGACCAGTTGTCCAAAGCATTCCGAAACAAGAACAAAAAGCAAGGGGGATAACGGACATCCCTGGCGAACGCCTCTATGAACGTCAAAGAACTCAGACAAAGTTCCATTACTAAGAATAGCACTTTGGACACGCGTATACAAACATTTAATAATTACACGAATGATTGGACCAAAATTCATGCGAGCTAGTACCTTGTGCATAAAACCCCAGTCAACGTAATCGAAAGCCTTTTCTTGATCAATAGCAATGAAAGCACATTTAAGATTGTTTGATTGTACATAGTCTGAAATGTCTCTAAGCAGAGTTGCATTATCTTCCGATGATCTGCCAGGCACAGCACAAGATTGATCAGGATGAATTAGAGACGGCATAACTACTCGAAGACGTTGAGTAATCACCTTTGCAATTACTTTATAATCAACGTTTAATAACGATATCGGCCTCCAGTTCTTAAGGTTTTCTGGATCCTCTTTCTTAAATAACAAAGTGATAACCGCACGACGAAGTGAGAGAGGGAGCTCACCTTTATCTAGACACGAATTGACCATGAACACAAAGTCACTCTTCAGTGTTTCCCAAAAACAAACGTAAAACTCTTTCGGGAGACCATCAGAGCCCGGCGTTCGAAGTGCCGGCATGGCATGAAGGGCAGCTAGACAGTCCTCCTCAGAAAGGAACGCCTCAAGGGTTAACTTCTCTTCTTCGGACAGCTTACGATCAATGGAAAGGAGCACCTCCTCCTGCGCACGAGCGTCAACCAATTGGGAAGTATATATGTTTTGATAAAACCGCACCTGTTCTTTCATTATCCCGTCAGATTCTGTGACACGACCATTGACTGTGTTCAACGCAGTAACCAGTTTTTTAGATGCATTGGACCGTTCACGTTGGAAGAAGAAGCGTGAAGGCTTCTCATTATTCCTGATGATTCTAACAGGACTCCGAATTTTTGCCCCCCTCCAATTTCTGAGAAGCAAGTTCACATAAATCGGACCGAACACGCTGCAACTGTTCTAATTCATGAGGTGACAAATTTGTTTTCTCCGACAGACGATGGAACTTGTTCATAAGATGGACTCGCTGTTCATTTATTTGCCGCCTGACAGCTTTGCTATACTCAATAATAATATGTTTGATTTCAGCTTTGCCTTCATCTCACCACTCCCCGACATCACTGAATAACATCTTCGCCTCAGTCCAGTCTGACCAGAAAGATAGAATCTCAGTTCGCAGTTTTTCATGCTTGAGGAGAGAAGTGTTCATTTTCCAAACACCCCGGCCCCACGTAATAACGTGATTCGTATCAAAAATATTAAAGGAAACCAAATCATGATCAGATAAGTGACATGGTTGAATTCCAGTTACTATCTTACTATCATCCACCAAATCCACAGAAATGTAAAATTTATCCAATCGCAACATTATAGAACGGTCCACGTTGGACCAAGTACAAGTTTTTAATGATGGATGTTGATGTCTCCAGATATCAATCAAATGATATTTTGATAACAACCGCTTCAATTCTGGGCTACCAATACTCCCGTGAGGATTTCCACCGAAACGGTCCATAGCTATATCTAAAACCAAACTAAAGTCCCCGCCCATGATTATTTTACGGCGGGTTAACAAATATTTGTCCAGCTGCGACAAGAAAGTCAACCGATCTGTACCAACGGCAACTGACAACCCGCAAAGGTGTTCCATTAAAAGTCAAATCGCAAACACACACTCTACCGTCAAAGTCAACATCAAACGAGATACCCTCGAATTTCGCAGGATCACGGATTAAGATACCAACACCCCGACTATGAACAGTTCCAACACTCCAAAATCCTCGACATCGACATTCAGCATTCCACTGCATGCATTCCCGATTGTTGAGTATCCGGGTGTCTTGCAACAATGCTATATCATATTCATAACGATTTAGATAATCAAACATTAAACGACGACGTTTAGGATCTCTCATGCCATCCACATTCAGGGATACGACCGATAACGAAGAATTCACCATCACGTAGGTTTAGGTTTCTTCCGTACCTCTGTCCACGTACTGCCATCCGGACCCCGCTTCAGCGGTTCCGCATCTAAATCCATACGTCCTCCATCCTGTAAACTGGACAGGTTGAGTTCATGGGACTCACGATTTAATAATGCATTGGGCTGTTGGGACTGAGTGGAATCCTGGGACACGGGGGAGACATGGGACACAGGAGAGACCTGGGACTCTGAAGGGATCTGCAACGTGGAGGGATCCTGAGACTCAGGGTGTGACATAACTGGGGCGGAACTGTGAGACTGCCCTTTTTGGGCTACTAAGTTCACGTTACGGCGATCTGTTTCCATTAATTCGACGGTTACTGGTGCCACCGTGTCAGCGACCCGGGCGGTGGAATTACCATCAGCAGAAGCGGGTGGTACGCGTGGGTGTTGCAACTCAGGGCAGTTCTCTCGGACGTGACCAAACTTGCCACAGCGAAAACATTTGAAACACTTATCACGAGCATGTCCAGACAAACCACACTTAAAACAAATTACATCATTCGGACACTCATTCGCACGATGGCCCAATAAACGGCAACGAAAACATTGAGGGAGTTGACCTTTATATCTGATTTCCACCGGGAAGTGTCCAATTCTTGACTTTCGTGGGATATCGGTTTTAATGTCAGTCATCTTGGCGACTCTTGTTCCGTTTCAATCGTGGGGAAGCCATGCTCCGTCATCATTTCGCGTGTTATCGTCTCCACTTTCCCATGATTACCAAGAAACTCCACAACGACTTTATTGGGCACTTCACTAGGAACATACAACACTTTCACCTCCACAATTGGATTCTCAATCGGCTGTACTTCAATTTCCACACCCTTAATGTTAAAAGGCTGAGATAAGAAAGCCAGTTTAGCATCATTAGAACGAACTGTGACCCTATATCGACCATAGGGCATTGACTGCACAGCTTTAACAACATTCACACCAACAACATTAACAATTGCTGGAATAACATTCTTTACGGACAAACCCTCCAAATGGTTTGTATGCAATACAACCGTATTTGGACGACGCAGCCTCGGCTCACCCTGGCGAATAGGATGAATCCTTGTCTGTTCCCCACCATTGACACGAACAGCTGCAGCAAAATCCATCGTGGCTGCATGACCAATCGTTGCTATGTTAAGCGTTGCCTCACCATCCATCACTTCCTCAACTGCTGCTTCACTCCACTGCGTAACGACTTGCTCCACCAACTTTTCTTGTTCTTCCTCCACTACGACTTTGTCGGTTTTTCTCCTCTTCTTCTTGGCTGTCTTGTTTGTATTGTTTATCCAAAAACTAGATTCGGCGCACGAGGACTAGCTGGATCAACCATCAAACTTGCTTGTGCAAGCAATTTATACAGTAATATCTGCTCTTTCGCTTGTGGGACGCGAAATCATATACTACGCATGCTCAACCACATTAAAGCGTGTTTAATGCGCATGTTCAACCGTATTTCGTCCCACAACTACAATAGAAAATGGATATAAACAACATAAAAACCTCGTGCATGGTCGGTCTTTCATTGAAATTCAAGAAAGACCTCCCAATGAAAGACCTCCCATTCGGTTTTTATCCTATATATAAAACCCTGTTGAGAACAACTTGAGAATTTCTGCTTCGACAAACCCGTACAAATCTTCGTTAGCGCTTCTCGGTTGTATGAGCTATTTCAAACATATTTCATCGAAATTGTTGTTGGTGAACGAATATTTAATCACTTCTCATTGATAGTATACAATAATGCGACACGAGAATTGATGCATATCAAATGCGAAAGCCCTGTTTGTTTTTATTGCGACCATGGTAATTCAAACTCATTTAAAGAACAATACATATCATCAAGTAAATTTCATTGTGGGTCAATCCTTACAAATATGAACTAAGTTAGTTAGATACCTCAAACGTCGGCTCTTAGTCAGATAAATCCTTCGGGGCCTACGGCCCCTCGTGTTTGTATCTGACTAAGAGCCTCCGTTTTCGGTATCTAACTCTTACATAGCCTGCGGATAGCACTAGCTACCTCATATATTCATGTTCGCAGACCGTAAAAACAATCAATTTCAAAAGAAGTAAATGATGCAGAACACGAATATATGAATAAGAGAGCCCCCCCCCCCCCCCACAATTATCGATCTCTCTGCGCTCATGGCCAGACTGAAACATCGACATTTACTACGTATGCGAGCAGGCTACCCATAGCAAAGAAAGATAAGTAGTTTATGTTTGGTATTGTATTCTATTCTATTCTACTTACTAGGGTTTCTTTCGCTTTAAGAGATTTCACTTCAGTTATAAAGTGAATTTCCGAAAATCAAAAGTAATTCAGGTCCAAAACGTTATATTCTTGACTTGTAACCAATCTACACCTAGTACACACCAGACATCACAAAATAGACATGACATGGTTATATCTAATCTGTGATAAAATATTCTTTTGTGCCATGCCACCTGACATGGCAGCTCAAGAAGTCAAGAATAAAGAAAATGTTAAAATTATTCCAGTCGAACTGTCCAGTCCAGTCCAACTGTCCAGTCCAGTTCATGTTTTGTACTATGCCCCGAGCCCCTGGAGAGGCGGAGAAACAGTCTGCGATCAATCAACACTAACGCCGTACAGTTGCGTAAGCAGTTGTTTTTCCGTCGGTATAGGTCTCAACTTTAATCTTTAATCTTTCTAGAGTTTCACATTAAATAGTATATACTAATTTACAATGTGAATTACATTTAAAATTTGTAAGAATCTAACTAAGGTTAACGTTAATTAAAGGTATATTTACAAGTAATCGTTAATTAAATTAACTAAAAACAATTTGAAGGAATCGACAAATTTACTTAGATGTTTCATAGATGTTCAATCCCATACACAATAGGGCTATTTTTACATCGTTCTGTTCGATATCTAAAATTATACAGTTTTTCTCCACTGTTTCTAGTAATTATCTCTGGGGACTATCCCGCATTCTTTTTATCAGGTTTTCACACATCTCTTCCCTACGAGTCTTTAACGTTTTTAGGTTACATTCTAGTAATGCCGCTTCATATGTCAGACCAGGACAAATTATCCGAAGCGCAGGCTTCTGAACTCTTTCTTTATCAATAGACTGTTCCTTGGTAACTTGGTTAAGTTTCCGTGCCAGATTTGTGCACAATATTCGAGCGTCGATCTTATGACAGCAGTGCAAAAGGCTTCTAGATCCTGCTTTGGTGCATTATAAGCTTTTAATATCTTCAGGGAGTACAATCTTTTTACCGCTTTTTTTACAATATAGCATGTGTTAGTAAACCACTTCAAATTGCCATCGATCCATAATCCAAGTAATTTGTAACATTCAACCCATTCGGATACTTGACTATTCATTTCTAGCGGTGGAATAACAGTTACATTTTCCCGAAAGTCAATTGTCATTTCTTTGCATGTCGTTTGATTTAACTCCATCCTATTGTCTTCAATAAACCTTAAGACGCTCTTAACTTTACTCCCAGAACCTCCCAGTTGCATGTCAGAAATTTGGTGGCTGACATCTAGTACCTAGTACAATGTATAATGTCATCCATACACATTATTTTATCATGCTAAAGTATAACACTGGCTTCCATGTTGGTGAATAGCATAAACTGAGTTTCTTCTTTTATGACAGAGGGTAGTTTATCAATCTTTGTTACAAAGGCAATTGGTCCGCGTTTGCTTCCTTGCGGCACTCTTTCATTATATAATATATGTATTATCAGAAGTATCATTCCCGAATTTAGTAAAATGAGATCTTTTATTGAGATATGTTGCAAACCATTGAATTAAGGCCAATCTAACTCCAATCTCTTTCATATCTCTTAGCAATATACAGACAAGAAAGATTAATTATTTGTATTACTCTGTCTCTCTACCAGTTGTGGAGCAAAAGCATACAATGTAGAAGATCTTAATTGGGAGCCCTCCATATTGGTCTAAGGTTCTCAACGATTGTACATGGTATGGTCTTAGGAATCCCAATTATTTATATATTTTCCGAGTTTTGGGGAATTTCTTTGTCTGAAATGTCTCATTGACAATTTCAGCAGCAGAAACTGCAAACAATTTCGGGAACATTTTCCGAATCTTCAAAAGTGGATTATTTGGTGCAGGTGCCTTGTTAACATTTGGCTAATTGCATTTGATTCTCTAGCAACTTCTTCAACACTCAATCATTAACGGCAGATCATCCGGGCAATGCATTTCTAGTCACTCTTTGTATATCTGTGGAAAAATTCTCGTTAGGTTAGCAAAGAACTTGTTAATTGAATCTGCCGATTGTTTATCGTTCATTGTGAGATTTGTCTCGTGGTCTGCTAAAGTCACAGCGTTTTTCCTTGATCCAATTAATCTTTTAACTTGCTTGCACCTTGCTTTTGGGAATGAACTATGCTTTGGTCGTACCTCTTTATCATAAAACTTCAGCTGGGCCTTCTTTATCTCAGCTGAAATAGTCCGTATGTTGTAACCCGATATCGTTCACTTTCATTAAGCATGTCATAGATCTGAAATATTTTGGCGGGAACTAACACTTTCAAACACGCTGAGTTCAAATCAGAAGAGTTCCCGCGCAGTGCACCCACAGTTTTCTCACAAAATGCGATTTTATCTTCAATAATTTCTCGACAAATCTTTCAATGTTCAACGACACGGATCGATGACAACACACGATTATGTCACCCAACAGGATCAATTTCTATTAACCAGTCTTCCTTTTAACAAAAGACCGGTTTTGCTCAAATCATTTTGAGTTATGCAATCTTATGCGTGTTCGACGTAAACAACATATCTTGTCTACAACTTTGAGAAAGTACAGATAACGCTTTCTAAAATCCTCTGTTCTAGAGATATCTCTATAAAATCACAAGGACATTAATGCGAAGTCTTTTGGCTACGTCACTGACCTGGAAAATAACTCTTTTAACGCGATCAAGGTTTTCAAAACAAAAGTAACACGAAGCCAACGTAACGGCAAAGACAACGCTAAAATGAAATGCTGTCGATTGGGTGCTGGTAGAACACTTACGACAGGATCAATCTTAGATAACCTTAAACTATAAGAATAAATGCTCGCATCTGTAGTGATTGACAGTTATACATAATTTATAGAATAAATTATAATACGCGGGAAAAGGGAGACAGGTAATTAGGGCGCGAAGGAAAAACATTGAGTTTGCATTTAGTCAGTAAGTAAAGGAAAATATATAACTATAAAGATTGTTTGATTACT